GTACAAAAACAAGGCACAAGGTTTGTAGGGTTTTGAGTTCAGAACTGTGGCATTCCGCTGAGGACTTTCGAGCATTTGAAAAGCATATACATTCATCATTGGGTATGTAAGTGACGGAGCCCAAGTCATAAGGGCGGTCAAAAGTGGGGCGTCTACAGTTGCCATTCTTTGGAAGAACCCGAAGTCATGAAATGAGGTGAGATGTTAAAGCCCAAAGACAACCCATTTTGACAAGGTCGTAAGACTTGGGCAAAACAAACAAGACATAAAGTAAATGGTTGCGTTCGCAAGCTGTCTACGTATCCCTTTGTAAGGAATCAAACCAGTGTAGTTCAGGGGCAAGAAGCAAACAACATGCAGGAAAAAAAAATAAAAATAACTTATGATCATGCAATGAAACAAAGCAATGTAACATAAATTAAAGCAAAACGAATCAAGCCGTGTCTCATACGAAAAGATGCGAATAAATCAACACGTCTCATGCGATTGAGACAGCAAAAGCCCAAACCAAACTACATCCCATGTAGAAAGGATGCAAGAAGATGTAAGCTAAGCAATGTCTCACATAGGGAGAATGAAAAAGGTTCCAAACCCAAATTGCGCCTTGCGTAGAGAGGGTGAAAATATGGTATTCCAGGCGCACCAAAAGTTTTTTTTTAAATCGAGGAAAATAATCCCAACGCATCTCACGTATAAGGAGGAAATGTGGTGTGAACAATGGGCACACCTGATGTTTTTAACCGAGGAAAGTAATCCTAATGCGTCGCATGCGAGAGGATGAAAGGTTGGTGTGAACAAACATGCGCACCTGCTGTTTTTAACCAATTAAAACAATCCTAACGCGTCGTACGTGAGAGGAGGGGTGGTGTGAACAAACAGGCGCACCTGATGTTTTTAATTGATTTGAATAATCCTAACACGTCGAACGCGAGAGGAGAAAAGGTGGTGTGAACACCAAGCACACCCGAAGTTTTTAACCGAGGACTCGAGATCCTAACGCGTTGCATGCGAGAGGTGGAAAGGTGGTGTGAACAAACAGGTGCACCTGTTGTTTTGAACCGATTTAAGAAATTCTAACGTGTTGCACGTGAGAGGAGGAGGGATGGTGTGAACAAATAGGTGCACCTGCTATTTTTAACTAATTGAAGCAATCCCAACGTGTTGCATGTGAGAGGAGGAGGGGTGGTGTGAACAAAAAGGTGCACTTGCTATTTTTAACCGATTTAAGCAATCCTAACGCATCGCACATGAGAGGAGGAGGGGTGGTGTGAACACCGGGTGCACCCAACTTTTTTAACCAAGGACTCAAGATCCTAACGCGTCGCACGTGAGAGGAGGAAAGGTGGTTTGAACGAACAGTCGCACGTGAGAGGAGGAGGGGTGGTGTGAACAAACAGGTGCACCTGCTATTTTTAATCGATTTAAGCAATCCTAACGTGTCACACGCGAGAGGAGGAGGGGTGGTGTGAACACTGGGTGCACCCAACGTTTTTAATCGAGGACTCAAGATCCTAACGCGTCGCACGCGAGAGGAGGAAATGTGGTGTGAACAAACAAGCGCACCTGTTGTTTTTAACCAATTTAAGTAATTCTAACACATCGCACATGAAAGGAGGAGGGGTGGTGTGAACAAACAAGCGCACCTGCTATTTTTAACCGATTTAAGCAATCCTAACGTGTTGTATGCGAGAGGAAGAGGGATGGTGTGAACAAATAGGCACACCAGACGTTTTTAATCGATTTGAACAAGTTAACAAAGGAACAATCAAACAGTTAGAACTTAAGCAAGAGTATCTCTCCCCCGGGAAGGCCTCGGCCTTGGCCTCGGACAACGAAACCCACAGAGATAATAAAACGTAGTATGAAGCGAACAAGTGCGATAGATGCACAAAGTGAACATGATGACAACTCAACATAATGATAATGCATGTTCTATGCAAGATAGACAACTGATGTATGATGTTAATTGAAAGCATATTCTATGCAAGCATACTCAATGCATGAATCATGAACGATGCAGGACATGCGTGCAACACAAGTGCATGTGAAAATGCATATTCGATGCAACAGAAGAGAACAAATACGTAATTTGGCAGAATGAGCAAAAGTAATGTTCAGCGACAACCTCTGACTTATCTCTTGGAGATGTTGCAACATGCTCAAAAAGGATACACCTCATTCATATTGGCAAGTGGAGAACATTTGCCTGCCAGAATGCAGTTTCGAGATCCCTTAGAATCAATCTGAACCCAACAGTGAACCTCCCATACACTTCTCGGGGAACAGAGGCACAAAACAGCATCAGGACACAAGTGAGGACCACTGGCCACTTGCCGGCCACAAGGGGAAGCCGCCAACCACCTGCCGGTCACCATTTGTTCTTGCCGTCCACAAATGTGGCTTGTCGGCCACCAATAGTGGCCTGCCGGCCACCTGTGCCAGTTTGGGGGCAAAACTGCCATTTTGCTTTGGGTCTTTAAATATACACCTTAAGGCTTCACTTTTTATACACATACACATCTGAAATCTTCACCCTCTCTCTCTAGGTGCTTCCTCTCTCTAGATCCATGCTTCATACGCGTTTTCCAGCATCCCATGCAAACTTTTTTTTTCGTAAAACCCTCTTGATTCTCCACACTTTGAACTAATCAGCTTTTGATTTCGTCATTTTTTTCTTGCATTTTCACCACTTTAGGCTTGTTCCCCTCGAGTTTCTCTCGGGTTTCATGAACTTTTCTGAATTTTTACTTTTTCTCCCATTTTCTCTCTCCTAGGGTTGACTTTTTCCAAGTTTCCCTCTTTTCTCCATTTTTCTTCATTTTCACCCACTTTTCACCTACTTACCTAGATGAGAGACGATATTCCACATGACGGGGTTCCTCCTGAGGTTCTGCTTCCACCATCACTTGTTGTTAAGGTTGAGGGGCTAGCGGCGGAGGGTATTGTAGTTGACCTGGAGGTAGAGTTCGCTCTGGGACTCGAGCCCGAACCATTACCACTAGGGATTCAGCCCTTCGATCTAGAGAAGTATCATCCACGCATACATATATTACTGCTTGGAGGCATCAGGCACTTCAGCGGCTTTGTTTGTGGCATGCCAGAGGACCTTCTACTGAGGGAGCTAGACTCTCATCTTTCTTACAACGCCACAGAGGTAAAAAAACTCTATGTTCATGTATTTCTGCCTTCTCTTGAATTGCATTTCTTGCATTGCCTTTATTCTGAATGTTCATTTATCATTGTCCTTCATCTGATTCACTTTTCTTTGTCACAGAGAGACTACCGTGCCTGCAGGGGGTATGGAATGGCGACAACTAGGGACTGGTACTTCGAGCTCCCTGCAGGGGTCTGCGATATTGTTGACGAGGCTGGCTTCGGCCTTTCTTACTCTGGACTTTCATGCCTCATAGCGAGCCAACCTCTAATCAGAGCATTGGTAGAAAGGTGGTGGGACACCATCGATTCTTTCCATTTCTCTTTCATTGGGAAGATGATGAGAACTCCTTACGACTTTTCTATGTTGACAGGCTTAGGAGTAGGGGGTGATTCGATCCCTTTCGACACAGATATGGGTAAGTAAGAGGCAACTTGGATCTTCCTACTTGGAGTGCACCCACCTGTATCCAGACCAGCGATGGTGCGATATAGTTGGTTTTCTGAGCATTTCTATGGAAGTGAGCCCATGACCCTAGAGGAGATAGAGTAATACACCCGGGGCTTCCGATGTTCCTTCTCGGTACCACCTTGTTTGCGAATAGATGGAACACCGTAGGATTATATTTATTGAGTGCCTTAGTGACCTTGCCCCGAGTCTGATTCTATGATTGGAGCAGAGCTGGCCTCGCTACACTTTACGGCTACATGAGCTCCATTTCTCGCATGAGAGAAGAGCGAGTCGGAGGCTACTGGCGAGCCTGGGAGGTATGCACTCTACTTTCTACTTTGCACTTATGCTTTCTACTTCACATTTTCTGCTTTATATCTGTTCAACACCCATGCTTTCTGTTTTGCACTTTCTATAGCTATTCATGCTCTGTGCTTTCTGCCTTGCACTTTCTATATCTGTTCATACTTTGTGCTTTCTGCCTTGCACTTTCTATATGTACTGACACTGTATACTCTCTGTATCTGTTGCACTTTCTATATCTGTTGACACTGTACACTCACTGTATCTGTGGCACTTTCTATATTTGTTGACACTGTACACTTACTGTACCTGTTGCACTTTCTATATTTGTTGACAATGTTGATAACACTACTGCCCTTTCCTTTATAGTTATGGGTTTACGCATATTTTTCGGCCCTTGCTCCAAAGCCTATAGAGGAGATCCCTCCCATAGGACAGTATTCACGACAGTACGACGACCGGTACCAGCGCCGGAGCTGTGACGATACGACATTCTTTTTCTTCCGTTGTTACTTTGATACAGTGGTCACCGACAAGGTAACCCGAAACTCACAGTCATTTTTTCTTTAATACTGCTATGATATATACTTTGGTAACTGATGGCAACTAATAATCTGTACATTCTCTGTTTGCAGATCACATGGCAGCCTTGGGCGACGATACCGACTGAGGTGAGGGACCAGTATGCGAGGGCTTAGGGCACATCTCATTTCTGGATTCTGCTGGAGGGCCCAGTCTGCTGGGCTTGGTTTCTGAGAGAGCGATTTGTACGCTAGATCGTAGGCTCGCATGATTCAATCATTCCAATGCCATCCCCAACGTCTATACGAACGGTAGATAGCCTATCAGTTAAGGCTATTATTCAGTTCATTGCAGGCCCGGATGCGGACTTCTTCAGAGCAGAGGGTGATTATGCATTACGACATTCTTTTTCTTCCGTTGTTACTTTGATACAGTGGTCACCGACAAGGTAACCCGAAACTCACAGTCATTTTTTCTTTAATACTGCTATGATATATACTTTGGTAACTGATGGCAACTAATAATCTGTACATTCTCTGTTTGCAGATCACATGGCAGCCTTGGGCGACGATACCGACTGAGGTGAGGGACCAGTATGCGAGGGCTTAGGGCACATCTCATTTCTGGATTCTGCTGGAGGGCCCAGTCTGCTGGGCTTGGTTTCTGAGAGAGCGATTTGTACGCTAGATCGTAGGCTCGCATGATTCAATCATTCCAATGCCACCCCCAACGTCTATACGAACGGTAGATAGCCTATCAGTTAAGGCTATTATTCAGTTCATTGCAGGCCCGGATGCGGACTTCTTCAGAGCAGGGGGTGATTATGCAACATTTATCCAGACTCATCTCATGCCTCCTCTAATGAATGTTCGCGCATGCGAGGTAGCAGGAGCTCCCATGGTGGGTGAGGCGACTCGAGCGACCAAGGCCCATACTAGAGGGGTCCTTCCTGTTGGGCAGATGACCAGTTGGTCGAAGATTCCTACTATACTCACATATTGGCAGCCGACTGGGACTGCCTACCAGATTTTGATTGACCAAGCAGAGGCAGGGCACAAGTATGTTAGAGCTCAAGGCATGCCTCAAGTATGGACCACACTTTACAATTTGCACCCCACATTTTCCATTTCAGATATGTCTATTCCAGATATTGACCAGTCAAATGCACTTGCAGGCACCTACTATGGAGTATGCAGAGAGCCTCCTCGAGCTAGTTGCCTCTCTGATCGGCATGGTGTAGAGGAGAGAGACGCTGTTTGGTCTCCACGGTATTCAGGTATTTCCCCCCATCTCAACATGCATTTCATTACTAATTCTGTTGTGCACCACACTATCATATTTTCATTGATACATTGGCATCTCCACTGCAGTATTCATATAATCTCACACACTAATACACTGCATTGGAACGCTGTACTCATATTGTATTTGTTTTTTTGCATGATGTTCATTCTGCTATACTATATCCTGCAACTATACACACTGTATTTGATATGACGACACTTGTGTTTTTTAGATCCCAACTGTACCGAGGGCACCAGTGGCAGTGGCAGCATCAGCACCAGTAGTACCTCCTCCAGCAGCAGGGAGGCGAGAGAGACAGGCCCCAGTACGCAGCTGAGACGAGCGTCGCGGTTGAGGTAAGGACAAGGGTGCTCGAGGCCGGAGTAGTCCTTCAGAGCCCGTTCTGAGTGGTGATGATGATGACGAGGCCAGCGTCTCTGAGGAGATAGTAAGTCCACATTCTGAGTCTGAGAGCGGGAACGATGATACCGGCTCAGGGTCGGGGAGCGGAGATGACACCGAGGTTGGCTCCAAGGCAGGGAGCAGAGGCTCAGAGTTTGGTTTTGACAGCGGTGCCAACGGAGACAGTGCCTCTGAGTCCCCTCCGAGGAAGAGGATGAAGAGGGCCTCTCGAGCTTGAGATGATTGACACTGTTTTTTGGACTTTTTTGCTTAGTTTCTTTTAGTTTGGTAGTTTAACACATGTATTGCTTCAGATAGGTTTTACTGTTGCTTTTGAAACTTGTACTTCTTTTGTAAAATCCATGATCGGAATAAAACTCTTGCAGTTTTTATGAAAAGAGTTTTAGTTCTACAACATGAGCACTGCACCACGAGTAACATACTTGCATGAAAAAAAGAACATGAAGTTGAATTTGAAACCGAACATGCTTGCATGGGAATAATGTTCTTAATCGGATAATGAGTTGACCAATGACAAAAAATACAACATACAACTCGATAAATAAAGAAAAATAACTCAAACATAGACCAAAAACTGTTATACACACTTGTAAAAACCAAAAGACTCAAAACAAGACCAAACAACACAAAGACCATGACAAAATCAGGCTGTCAAAACTGTTCAACAAACAGGTGGACAGCCAGCCAGATTGGTGGACTGTCGGTGTCACAACCCAAACCCGTCCCTATAAGTTTAGTGTCGTAGCCGGCCAGTAATCCTTGGATTACCAAAGGCCTCTAAACAGAATATCATATAATTAAAGGCTGCGAAAGCAAATATACAAAATATACATAGTCCATAGAGCTGTGCAGACATACATGGGACAGGAATTTCTAAAACAAACTTATACATAAATAGATGTGACGTCAAAACACATTAGTCATATGTCACCAAAGCCACATATACAGAACTTAAAAAACATGTATAGGTTAAGCATAAACATCAGGAAGCATAAAAGCCCTAAAGACTCAAAAGCTTGGTCAGATCTCAAAAAGGGGAACCTCCATGGGAGGCACGACGACTGGTTGACTCCAAAATTGAGATGCCAGGTCCTCAACTTTGAGCCTGGTCACGTGCTTGATCACCTAGATACATAAAATAAATAGTGGGCGAGCCTAGTGAATAATAACAAAGTAAATGGATTTAATGAATGATGTCCATTTTAGAGTCAGAAATTAGAGTTTATATCATAAACAGATTCACATTCATATTCTTGTTCAAATCATATACAGAAATCAGAGTTCATGCTTAATCATACGTGGTACATCCATTAGCTCTAACGGAGCAGATACAAAATAGATGCAGAACAGATGGTGGTTATGAGTAACCAATTCCATAAAGGAACCTCCGGATCTGGGTGGCAAATGACAGATATGCTGAGCCCCATGATGGAGCCTCCGGTACGGGTAGCAGATTGCAGACATATTAAGTTCCATAATGGAACCTCCGATACCAGGTAACAGCTAATAGATATCACATGAAGCTAGGGATGCCACAAATACATTGTCAGAAATCGGACAATCATTCATTATACAGAACATAACATTTCAGAAAATAGATCTTATTTTCTCATACAGAAAATAAATAAAGTTGAACATAGCTTTACTAAGTTATTACTCACAGATGGCTCCGGGTGAATACAGACAAAACAGACTAATCAAACGGTTTATGGCACGTGACCTACATCAACACATAACAAATACACATTTGAAACACAAGTTGGAATATATCTAACTCATTACGTTATGATCTTAGTGAGTTTCTACATTTTACCCTCATTATTACATCTTAATCTTGGCCTAGGAATGCCTAGGATGCAATGAGGATGCTAAAATGTACTTGAAAACACTTAACAAAAAATTGTTAAAAATAGGGGTCTCGCTTGAGCACAGCTTTCTTCGCTTGACCAGAAATACAAAATGCAAGTGATCACTCGAACGCACATTCCTTCGCTTGAGCGGTCTGTAAACTTTACAAAAGTGTTAGTTGCTTGATTTTTCAGCGTGAGGCTCGCTCGACTCTGGCTCAAGCATGAGACTCATGCCATTGCTCGAGCGCAACTTTTGTCGCTCGAGCGGTTTACAAAAACACGCAAACTTCTGGGAGCATGCATTTTACACTTGAGTGGACTTTTGGTCACTCCAGTGGAAGTGCAGAAATAAAGGTGGTCACTTGAGCGCAGGATTTGTCTCTCAAGCGTAGAGGCAGAATTCTGGAATTTTCAGAATTGCTTCCAAGCTTCAAATTCAACCCAAAGCTGCAAATTTATGGTTCCTTAGGCCAAAAACTTAAGAAAACATTTAGAAACTTGTGTAACAATATGAGATGAAGATCAATTCACAAAATTAAAGCCTAAAACCAAATCAATTCTTCAAAACCAAGCTTGAAACTTTATGTGCATAACATGCATGCAATGATATAAGATATTTTCTTTCAAAACATGAGTAATTTGGGATTGTAAGTGCAAAACTATGGTGAGCTCTCAGCCTTTAACAAAAATGTCCTCTTGCATGTATAAATTGATTGAAAATTAACTCATAATTTATGAATTATGCATTCATGCATGAAGTAATCTTTCATTCTACATTCTTAATTTAATTCTCATGCTTTATCTTCTAATTCTCTTGAATTCTTGCACTAAGTAATTCAAATTCATAATTAAGGAGTTGAATTTCCTACCTAACCTTGAGTTTGCAAGCATTGGAGCTAAACTTCCTCAATTCCCTTCAATCTCCCCTATTTTCTTCTTAATTCTCTTCTTCCTTTAATGTTTGGCTTCAATCTCTCTCTCTCTCTCTCTCTCTCTCTCACGGTTTTTTTTAATCAAAAGAAGATGAAGGAGTGTGTGTATATAAAGAATCTACAACTCTTATTAACCTTATATAGGCTTGATTAGTAGAGATTAATTAATTCTAACTTAGACTAATCAATTTTAATTATTTTATTCTAATTATTTCGTTCCGAATTGAATTTCAATTGAGCCTATCATAAATTCCTAAAAATTCCAAGTAACACATATATCAAGTTAATTTCGTGATCGAATGTCGATAAGGCCTTCAATTCGTAGAATAAGACGGAAACACAAACAGATCTTCCTCGGAGAGATAGATAAAAACACAAATAATGCAACACACATGTAATTAATTTAGAATTCACCTTAATTACTTATTAGGCACAATTAATTCCGATTAGTCAACTAATCATAAGACGGGGTTGTTACAGCCGGCCAGAAGAGGTGGACGACCGGCCACAAAAGGTGGATGGTCGGCCACAAATGTGAGGGGTACCAGAATGCTGACGACTGGCCTCCACTCACAGCCTTTTCTTCTACAAAAGGTCCTCTTTCATGATTTCTTCTCCAGAACTTCATTTCAGCTGCTGTTTCTTCCACAAATGGAGCCATTTCTTGCTGAGAAACTCACAGATTGGATAACCACTTTAGATGGCACGGAAAAGGTAAATTTTTGGAGTTTCGACATAAACGCGCTTTTTCCGTTGAGCCGTACTCCACTTTTTTTTTTGTTCCTCCATGCTGTGGTCTGATGCTGGGATCCGATTACACATGTCTTTGCTTTGGAGCACAAGAAATATGCCTGATTCTTGAAGAATTTCAGGCACTAATGGAATCTGGCGCGATGAGGAAATTATACTTCAGTCTCGTTTTGGCCATTCCTTAGCCTTGGGACGAATGTGTGGGCTTACTTTGCATGAAGCTCGATCCTTGGCCTACGACGAAGAGCTAGATATACCCAGCTTGATTCATCAATTTTCTAGCATCGGTGACCGAGGGGACCTCCTTTAGCGAGGCTTTCGGTAACACGTCCTCTGCTTGTGTATGCTTGCACACTATCTTCTTGCCCCTAGTTTCAACGGAGCCAATATCAAGTTGATTGAGGTAGCCCAACGCCTGAAAGAAGGTAAGAGTTGTATCGGTTTGGGCTTGGCCGAGACTATGATGGGTTTGGACGCTTTTCACTAGTGAGAGATCACTAGGTTTGTGGGGAGTCCACTACTACTTCAGGTATTGTTTCCTACCCTATTTTATGTATATTTCTCACATCACTTGACATTCACACTCTATTTTCTCTCAAAGCCCTTTCCTAACTTTTCTCTCAACATACATTTCCCTATTTTTTAATCTCTCTTATTTTTCATCCCTTCCCAGGTTTGCCTGATGGACAAGCTAAAGGTGGTGAACCCTTGCCCAGTTTACTCAGCTCGAGCGTACTTTTTTTGCCAACGCCTAGTGGACTTCCCCAATGAGGGATGGTGGTGCAACTGGATATGCCACAGGTTTGCAGCCGACATAGCTTGACGTTGCCTCTGGCTTGATTTAGCTGAGATGAGCTACAGTATGACCCGATAGCCAGGTGTTCAGTTGATTGGCCTCATACACTGTGTGTTCTATTTTCCCTTTCGGTTTAGACGCCAATTTGGGCATGATCAGACACGTCCAAATGAGGGGGTGGAATACATGGCTCCATTCTCGATATGTGCTTCAAACTTGACTCGGTACCTCACTGCCTGGAGGACGAGAGAGCTCTTGGCCCCTGCTCCTAGCTTCAGTTATGCCCTTTCTGGCGAATGCTTGACTTGGCTCGAGGACGAGGCACAAGTTGGACCAACTTTAGCTGCAGGGACTTCTTCTAGTACGAACGGAGAGAGTAGGAACACCTGACTCGTGTGCCCCTAATTTTATTGCTTTGATCTTTTTTTTCAAGTTTTATGACGTAAAAACAACTCCAATTTGTAGCGAAGAGTTGGAAAATGTATTTCATGTTGAAATCAATGGAATTAAAGTTATGAGCACTAAAAATTTTCCTTTTGGTCCCAAAATGGTCTAAGTTGTAAAAGATAAAATTTTGAGAAAAAAATCAAGTTTTATTAAAACTTTTCAAAATTATTTTCGAAAATGATCACCACTTGACACACGCAAAATCGATTCTCAAGATGTATAACCCTAAATCGGAAGATCATAATGGCCCTTGCTTACATACCACCACTGCTACACATTGTACAACGAGTCTTCTTCCCAGAACAAAGATCACAACCAAGCTTATAAATAACAAATAAAGATAACCTAATCAAACAAATGGACAGGACAGATGAGTTGGAGATAATTACGGCCAAACTTCAGGGTGAAGTTATCTACGTATCCCAAAGATGGGAAGTAGGCCTTATGTAGTTCGATTTAGGTTCACTCAGATTTTAACTCTCTC